GGTGTTTTTGCTTCAGTATATCGAATGTCCATGGAAATGTTGCACAATTGCGCTCAGAGACACCCAAGATCTTTTGACGTTCTGAGCCGAGTCATCCTGAGCTCCGAGATTGCACGTGCAGTTGATATTGAGCATGGTTCGCTCTTGCTCCAGGGGAATAGATATGTGGTGTCTAAGAACATGTTGGAGTTGGTCATTAGGCTAGAACTGACATGTGGAAAGCCATTGACAGATTGTACATATATATATAAGTTCCAGTGATCGCGAACTTACACTGCTTTGTAGTTGAGTTTTTATTCGCTGATTTGACTATCTATGTATACGACTCTGACAATAGTTGTCTAACATAAGCTCAACTGGAGCAAATATTGGAGTCGATGGCTGTGATCGTCCCCATCATAGTTAGATATGCAATGATTAGAGTAGATAACATATTAGCCGTTGTGCGAGATATGACGACGGCGAGACAATGAGAATCGTAAGGATTTATCAATTTTTAATTTGAAAACTTATTTTTTGGCTATATGTTTCGAACTAATATATTATTATTTACTTGCAGGGCCGATGGCGGTATATTCACAATAAAATATATAGAATTTTTGAGTGTTGGTTGCTAGGTTGATACAAAAAATCAATTTTGGAAGATATGTAGAGGTTGAAGTTAGCCTGTAATTTGTATGAAAACAACTATAATCCATAGCATATTGTGTATTATTGTATTAAAAAAATATAAATATTGTTTACTTACTTCGTTGTGATTCGTGTTGTAATACAACAATTGTATGTGTAATTTTAAGAATATTTGACTGTATAAGTAACAAATAGTTAAAATTATTCTTATTATTATTATTTTTTTATGACAATAGATTAAGGTGTCATCAAATAAAAATCTTAACATACTTTGATTTCAAACCATCAATTTAAATTTAACATGGGACGTCAAATGAACCACGCCCTGGCCTACTTGTGATCATTTTGATGAATACCAATTTCGCAAGTATGTTCATGTACATACTTACGAGCTACAAAAAACTTATTTGTGTCCATCTTCGTCGCTTGCAAACGCCAACGGCAACTGTCATCAACGCAGATAATTTTGGACGTTGACTTGTTTAATTTCTTGACTTTAAACTCAAAATTGGGTTTCAAAGTAATCCGGTGCACAGCTTTCTGCAAATCTTTCTTTGTTTTAAACAGTCGCTCGACATGCAAATCTTCATCATCTGGAACTACACACGAATAATTAGATGATCATGTACTCATTCCTGCCTATGAGCTCCCACCCGAATCATGTCTCTGATGAGATAATGCAACTAAATTCTCATTTGTAAATTCATTCTTGTTGTTTTGACCTACCGAGGGAATTCTGTACATAACAGTGAGATCATGGTGAGAAACAATTGTCTCAGAAATCATTCACATTACGATTCCCTCCATCGAAATCTTCGTGTTCACTCTCGGGAAAATTCTTTTTAACCAAAGTTACTCCAACATGAGTCATACGATTTTGGTTCAATTCAATTAAAACATTCATCTTAGCTTTGGAAGCAACCATTATAAGTGGAATTAAAATGGATGTATGCTCGTTTAATAGAAATCCTATGTTGTATTGAGAGGGATCAACGTTTAGCTTGTTCTGTAAATCGTAGTACATTTTTGCATACAATGTACTCGATCTTATTGCAATTACAGTACCAGCACGACTTTCACTCGTCCATTTGCACGCCTATTGATCATTTTCATTCATTTCAAATTCACGAAAATAACAAATCGGAACTGTAGTTGTCTCCATATCTGCATCATGAAACATAATTTGTTAAAAATATAATTATGAGATAAAAAGGGGAAGAAAAGTTGTCCTAGCTAGCTGTTTCTAGCTGGCTGGGACGGTCGACCGAATGGCGGACCGGCTGTTCCCTACTGGTTGTTTATCTATGCAAATGAATTTTTTTTCCATTTTTGCTTAAAAAATTATAGATCTGTTTAAAATTGTAAAAATTTATTTGCTTATGTAAAAATAAGATTTAACAATTAAAATAATTTACTAATTCAATGAAAATGAAATTAATACATAAATATACTTACTGATTCAAAATGATGGTTAGAAATAATATTTTTTAGCTGAGCATTTAATAAATTTATGAGATTTTAAGGTTGAAGCAAATGAAAAACGAAACAGTTTGCATCTGTGTTGGAGTAAACAAATAAAGAAAGTGACTTCGTTTTACAATTTTAAGTATGAAGTATTTGATTTCTACTTTGTAATACTTGTAACTTAAAGGGTAATATTGTCTTTTAATAACAGCATATTTTTGTAATTTTATAACTTATTTAAGGGTATATTTGTCTTTTAATCAATAAAAGAGCCATTGTGGTGAATAGCAAGGAAAATTGTCTCACGTGGAAAATGGTTATGTTGACATGGCTCAATGAAAAGTACCACTTAACCGTGTCTTTAATCCTTGGTTTCAATTTTTATTGCCGGAGGATGTGTTGATGAAGTTTTTTACTTTGGCCAAAATGTCTACGGGAAATGCAACCAATTTTTTACTATTTTGTTGAAATTGTGACGCCATAATTAATGAAGTATATGGAAATATTTTATTATAAATAGGGGATACAATTCGAAGAGAAAGAGAACAATTGTAGAGAGGTGAAGAAAGTAGTAAGTTATCTGCTACACTGGAGATAAGAAATAGTGAGTAGCTAGCAAATTAAAATTATAAAGAGAAAAATATTTGTTCTTTTAATGGTTCCTACTTCATTTTTTTTTCTAGTACAAGAGAAATTAATTTTTATTATCTCCTTTTGTTCAGAGATATGATATTGTATTTTTCCTATTATAGTGTAATCCTTCCATACTTGACCGTGATTTTTACCTCAAATTAAATTGGAGGGTTTCCGTATAAACTCCTAGTGTTTATTTTATTTTCAGTTTTTCCTTAGTCTGACTTTAGATTTGCGCTAGCTATCATCCTCTATTTCATAACGATGAATCAATGAAATATCCATATTTTGCCTATATCTCTCTAACCAAACATGCTCGAAGTGCATAAGAAATGTAGCATCCTCTTCTCTTGTTGAACGAAACAAATGTATCTATTTATATAAGTATTTTCAACACACCTAACTAAATTCAAATTTTCTTTCGAACTGATGGAATTTTATCAAATAGATATCACTAAAACTAAAATCCAGGATTAGCTCGTTATATGATTTATTTATTCATTTGTTTTGGGGGAGGGAGGATGGGAGGAGTATATATATACATACATACTCTTTGAAACCCAAAAAGAAGAAAAAAAATAGATAAAATAAATTGCAAGAAAGAGAGAAGAAAATTAATGTACCTTGGATTCATAAAGTTTAAATCTATATCTTCAATATATCTTGGATTCGATTTTTCAAAAGGTTTGAATTTTTCAAAGTAGTGACGAAACTTGAACTAATAAAACAGACTAACTCTTGTGATCATTAGTTTGGAACTCAAATGCTGTAAACGTAGAAAGTTAGCTCTAAATATTAAAAATTCGAAATTTCAGATTGAAATGGCAAGAAATTTGAACGAACGTATATGCAATTTAAGAAAGTGAAATGAAATTTTCTCTAACAAACAACACAATTGCCATAATGCCTCGATCCATGCAGATCTACCTTTGATTTGAATATCCGAGACCTGTCTGATGGAAATATCATTATGTACTGATCACGATCATACGGTTGAATATCTTCAAATCCCTATCACTTACAACAGTACTAGAATTTGACCCAAAACTGAAATCAGATGATGAAATGGTGTTGAAGCTGGATTCCTCGGATTCATCTAATAAAGCAATCCGACGTAGTTCCTCTCTCTTAAGCACGGCTTCCACCAACCTCTCCCAATTGTCATAATTATTTAACATTTTTAAATAAGCACAAATCTTGCAAGCCGGTTCATTTTGAGTCTATGGCATTAGGTAGCTAGATCCTTTTGTTTGTACACCTGTTCTTTTTGTTTGTTCGAATATACCCGATGTTATTGTATAAACATTTGATCGTTAGTTGTCTAGGTATACCCAGTGTATTTATTTTTGTACTTGATCTTTGATTGTCCGGGTATGCTTAATGTACCTGTACATGGCTTTTTATCAACACATTTACCGTTAAAAAAATAAAATAAAAAAATCTTGCAAGCTGATCTAAAATAATTAAGAAATCAGATCTGCCCTTAAATTTCTCCCCAGGGAATCTATGAAATGCATTAATAATAGAATTGTACAAGGGTTGTGGGACTTTCACCAACTAAAATGTCTTGGACAACTGCGGAATTGGAAGACCAATTCGAACTTCCGCGTTTAGCTAAAGCTTGAAAAGTCTTCTTCGCGTAAGTAGACTGACTACAAGCAAATAAGTACGTTCTTCTGGAATAGTTTATTTTTTTACCAGTTAATTCAGAAAAAGTTAGTTATTTTGATATACTACAAAATTTTAAACTTAGACAAAACATGTCCTGAAATAAAAATAATGTTGTTTTACCGTATGAATTTAACACCTTGATTGATAGATTGAGTGTGGCAAAAGACGATTGAACGTTCGCTGTTTTTTAAACAAAACCAATGACAAAATGCCACGTGGCATTCTATCATCCAGAGTGTTAAAGAATCTGACGACATAGTAGAACTATGGAAATAATAGATAACTTAAATAGTTTTTTTTTTTTTTTTCTCAAGCCTGTTTGGGACAAAATACAGAGTCATAGACCCATACCGTCGAAAATGCCATAAAAAGGAACTACGCTTATTTGGCTTTAAAAGATAGACATACCATAATGGGCATAAAATTGATATTGTAAAAGCTTCCTCACATGCTCAATTGCTCAACTAATTTACTTTTCCATCAAGGCCAACACATGCATAATTTTCATAAATAACATAAAAACTTGGGATTTTTGTCTATGCCAATACCATATTAAATCACCTCATAAGTTAAATTGATGACACGTCCTCCTCCAACTCTTGGTCTTAAACGCGCAAGTGATAAAAATGAAATGTAAATGTAAGTCAAAATATACCATATAACATGCGCTTGCCCAACTGATGCACTGTCATAACCTCTCTCTCTCTCACAACTTTATTTGGCATGTCAAGTAATAAAAATGAGGTATTCAAGTTACAGGCAGAAGCTTGGGCTTATTAATATAAGGTATCCTCTATATAAACCATGAAATGTAGACCAACGACGGGGGAAAAAGGAATGTCCCTATGATTTTAATTATGCAATATCCAGCTAACGATACAAACTAATCTGCAGCTCCAACCTGTAATGAAGCTCGAGCAATTTCTAGTGCCTCCTCGACAGAAGATGCATTCTGAAGTTTGGCTTTGTCGATTGAAGGTTGGCTCCTTGCGAGTTTAGGGAGCAGTTGGAATTCCTACAACAATTTTACAAAAAAAATAGTTCGATTGTTAAGTTATAACTGCATGTTTGATTAGTATAAATATCATTCAATAACATAACGAAAAGATTTTAACATCTTTTTCTTCCATACGAGTTTATATTACTATTGAATCTCCCTACAAAACTTGCCATCAGTACAAGGATAGTTAACAGTTTACACAGGTATGTTACATGATAATAACATTCAATGCAACATGCATTCACGTCTGCTCAAAGGCATTTATTTTGTCGTACATCTCATTTTCAAGTCTTCTCAATAATTTCATGCAACATATATTAGTCTTCCATTCTCGAGCCCCATGCATCAGTAGCCTCTAACAAACATGTCCGAACATCTCAACCCGAAAAATCTCAAATTTTTTGGTTCGTAGTATTGTGTTCAATTAAAAATTACCTCTAAAATATATTCGAATCAACAGCAAAGGTGCTATTTCTGTTGTGATATCAGGTAACAAAATAACTAGCAAGACTATCATAAGCTTTTCCTTAACATTTATCTCTCTTTAACAGTTCTTCTGGTTCCATATCAACAATTTATACATTACACACAAAAGAGAAATGCACGGGAGCGAATTACGGTTCACACAATTTCACAAAATTCAGTATCAGTTCCAAAACGTACCTCTGCTGTTCCACTTTCAAGAAGAACTCCCTTTAGTATACCTGCAGACAGCACAATCAGCATTGTATTTTCTTTGCTTTTTATTTTTCCAGTGAAAAATCAACCCCTCTTCCCTACAGTCCCTGCCCCTGCCCCTCCACCCCCATCCCAACCAATAAAAAATGTAAAAGTAATGATGCATACATGCCCTTAGAAGGAAATCTCAATCAGTTGCTCCTACCGCCAGCAGCGCACACACACACACATGCAGAGTGAGAGCAAAGTACCAGAGTCAATCCAGAAAGTTGCAACTTTTGGATCAAAATTTCCGATTTGAACAGTCTCTCCAACTGTATATTAAGAAGCGAAAGTACAATTTAATATCATTAGCTAAAGATTGCCCAACCGTAAATTCTTTGGACTCATAGACCAAAAAAGTAAGACACATACTTACCATTGTCTCCGAAGAACTGCCACCAGACTTTTCTTGGGCTCCCTTCGTACTCAAAAACCCTTGAGTAAAAATATGGGAGATAGTCATACCTGATTGTCACAGAGGATTCCCATCATTATCACAGAAAACTTGAGCAGTCAAGTTTCAAAGTTATAATTCCATTAGAAACAAAGTTATGATTCCGTTAGAAATAAATCCAACTCACGTGTCCGTATGTGCAGTTAGTAGTGATTTAACACAATGTTGAGCAGATCGACGAGCATGATCAACGTGCTCAACCCTTGAAATTCGGTCGTAAATCTGTTTCAGTTTAACACGACGTGAGATCATGACTCCATGAAAAACTAAGTTTTCTACTTTTAGTTCGTAAAAAGAACACACCTTTAAGGGGAACGCCGCAACATCTCCGATTGCAAAAATTCCTGGTATGCCCGTTCTAAACTGGCCATCAACCTAAAATTTAAGTGTCGGAGCACATTACTCTCTTTTTTTCTTTCTTTTCCAAGTCAGTGAATCATGCCAAATATGCATAAAAGGTATACGGAATAAATTTAAATTTTATACATTAGCTAATTTCAGCAACCAAAATTTAGCTTATCAAATATTAAGAAGTCTCTTTTCATTTTGATATCTTTTTCGCATGTGGTTTTTCATTTAATTTTTCTTCTGTGTGAATCAGACGAGTAACTTATATAATTTTAAATTAGTAGAAGTTCATGTATCATGTACAATGACCTCACATCAAAACAAAGAAAAATTAATAACCTGTATTCCTCCCACGCTGCTATTTAAGCCAATCTTTTCAAAGGGACCCACAGCAGGTTTTGCTCCAATTCCAATGACAACCTGCATGCCAAGGAACAAAGGATGTATCATTTCCCCCTTCACCTGTATGTAATAATTTACTATGCCACAATTATGTAGCAATACTCAAAATAAAGTCTGTATTTTTATTTTTTTAATCATGAAGAAAGATAAATTCTAGAAGATGAACATCTTTTTCCAAATTACCGTGTCTGCTTCAATGGTGGATCCATTCTCGAGTTTAACACCAGACACATGTCCATCAGGACCAGCTTCTAAATTCTTTATGGAAGTGCCCTGGAAGCACGGTTTAAATTCAGAAACCTTCTCTACATGCATCAAATGTATATGCCTGCTCGGAACACAATCATGCACTACTTTTGCTCAATTTACATTTTCCTTTTTTTGCAATTTACACCTTTTCCTTAACCCTTCTCTTTTTGTGATAGAGGTT